GACTATAGACCCTCTCGGGGCGCCGTTGGATGCCTGGATGGAAATGAACGGGAATGGTGAGGACATAGTTGGGGTTCGCCGTTATTGCTCTGGGAATGGATGGGAGGTCGAATGGCAGGGGGCGAGGAGAGGCGGAGCACGTGCGCAATCCCCCCAGGGCACTTGCTTGATAGCATTGTCCAGCTCGCCCCTGGTCTCCTTCCCTGCTGCGAACTTCCACTCGTTCGCGCCCTCAGCTGCGTCCGCTTTGATCGGCGCCTCCAACGTGGACACCTCCCCTTCCACATGACATGTTCGTTGTTATCACATATCACTCTCCGTCTCGCCATCGCACGCCTATCGCCCCCGACTCCAAGCTCGACCACCACGCGTTTCCCGTCTCCCCGCCCTCGCCCATGCACTTCCTCATCATCGTTTTCACGCCTCCTCGTCCCTCTCGTTCTGTATTATTGTTCATACCTCTCTCTCTCTCTCTCTTTCTATCTCTCTCTCTCTCTCTTTCGTTCTCTTTTCTCTCTCTCTCTCTCTCTCTCTCTCTCTCTCTCTCTCTTTCTCTCTTGTTAGCGCGCTCTCTCTTTCTCTCTCTCTCTCTCTCTCTCTCTCTCTCTCGCTCGCTCTCTCGCTCTCGCTCTCTCTCTCGCTCTCTCTTTCTCTCTCTCTCTCTCTCTTCTCTCTCTCTCTTCTCTCTCTCTCTCTCCTCTCTCTTATAACTCCAGTCACGTTGCCACCCCGTCCTGCCCCTGCGTCTCACCCCCGCCCGCTCCGACATGACGCATCGCCACCTCTCATTCCCCCCCCCCCCCCCCCCCCACCCCCCCACCCACCCACACCACCACCCCGCATTTCGCGTTGTTCTCATTCGCATCCTGACCCCCATCCTCCTCCTCATCCTCTTCCTCCTCCACCTTTCCCTCATCCGCCTCATCGTTCCTCTCGGCCCAACTCCCCGTCGTCGTCGCTATCCTCATCGCATCGGCTGCGTCGGTTATCATCGCGCCGTCGGCTTCGCCGAGCTCAGCATCGCCACTCGGCCCTGGCTCTCCCCCATCAAAGCGGCGGGGGCCCCCCCCCCCTGTGCCTCGGATGTGCACCGCGCGAACAGTGTGCGCAGCTTGCGGAAGTCCTTCATCCACTCGGGTGCCTTCACGGCGAGCTTCTTCTTGGTGCCGTTGCCGTCGCCATCGCCGCCTCCCTTGCCGCTGGCGGCCTCGTGTCCAGGGCCCCCATGTCGCGGCTGCGGCTGCCTGCTTCTCCTCGCTGGACGCCTCTGCGCCAGGGCGCGGCAGCGGAGTGCATGGCACGCTCGCCGCGCCATCGGCGCCAGGAGGTGGTTGGTCGCCGACGCACCCCGACTCCATCCAGACCTCGTGGCTGGTCCAGCTCTGCTACCACGTGTCCTCCAACGAGTGCTCCACGTAGAGGTAGAACAGGCAGTCCGTCATGCTGCACCACGTCGTGAAGATGCCCCCCATGAGCACTGCCTCCCCAGCATACTTGCATGCCAGCTTGGCACCAGTTGACCCCCCGCCAAACTTACACGCCAGCCTGGCCAGCGGCATGTAGACGCCCTTCATCGTCTGCTTCTTGCTGTTCGTCTGCGCATTGCTGAACCCCCACTTCTTCTGCCACTTGTGGAACGACCACTTCGCCCACTCCTCGCGGACCGTCTTCTTGGCTGGGTAGCCCTCCGCCGCCAGGTGCTTCTCAGACCACTCGTTCGATGTCTCCATCACTCTGGCCCATCTGCCCGCGATCGCGCTGCCCTTCTTCTTCTTCTCTGTGCTGAACTCGAACGACCTCTCCTCCAAGGACTCCCGCATGAGGCGCTCCTCCCTGTCAAGAGCCGACTTCTTCGGGTCGGCGCCGAAGTCGTCATCCTGCAGAGGCTTCTCCGCGGACTCAGGGCGCATCGCGCGCAGCTGCACGATCAAGGAGCCCATGTAGAAGTCCGGGAAAGTCTTGCCCATCTCGCCCAAGTTCGCACCCGTGTCGGATGCGACCAGCTCGTCGAACTTATGTTTGAGCTTCTCCACCAGCTTGTTACTTGCTGATGCCGCAGTTGCCATCGCGCGGTGCCCGCGCCATCTGGTCGATGCTCGGCGCTGTCATCGCCTGCTGCGCGCCGATGTGGCTGCTCTCGATTGGCTGCTGCAGGCGCTGGCCCACCAGCTGCGGCGGTGCCGTGAGCGGCCGCTGCGAGCGCGGAGGCGCTGGCACGCGATTATCCGCGCTTGCCGGGCTCACAAGGCGATTATTCTGCCACCTCTTGGACTTCTTGGTCTCCACTTGCACATCGTCTGTCAGCGACCGCTTGAAGGATGGCAGCACTGGCGTCTCCTGCTCGTCCGAAGTCTGCTGCGGGAGCCCGATCGGCAGCTGCGAGCCCGAGTCCGCTGGATTGTGCGATGGCGTGTCCGCCAGCTGCGGCGTCTCTGGCGCTGGCACCCAGCTCGCTGACCTCGGGCGCGACCTCGGCGAAGTGACAATAGCTTGCAGCGGCCCCTGAGGAGACCAAGCGAAAGCAACAATCACTGTGGTCATGGGCTCCTCGGGTGAGGAGCCCACCACTCGACCAGGTCATGTTGCTGTCCGTTTGGCCCTCCTGCCCTCGTCCGAGTCGATCTGCCCCACCGAGGGCGAGGGCGGAGGCGGGCCAGGAGGCGTCCCAGGACTCGGGGCGGCCGGAGGCGGGGCTGGCCGTCCATGCACCAGCTGCCCCTCGGCTGGCTGCATGCTCGCTGCGCGCTGATCCTCGGCTGGCTGCGTCCTCGATGCGCGCCGCTCCTCGGCTGGCTGCATCTTCGCTGCGCGCTGCTCCTCGGCTGGCTGCATCTATGCGCGCTGCCCCTCGGCCGGCTGCTTCTCTGCTGGCTGCTCCTCGGCTGGCTGCTTCTCTGCGCGCTGCTCCCCAGCTGGCTGCCGCTCCTCGGGTGGCGAAGCCTTGGCGCGCGGGTGGCTCACTGCTGCAGCCGCGCCCTCCTCATACGGCAGCGTCTGGTCTAAGTTCATGCGGTCGAACTCGTCCTGAAACTCTTTCTCAGTCATGGAGCGCTCGCGGGCGTCCTGCATGGCGTCCTGCACCAATGCCTCGATGCCCATCCCAGGGTTGGCGCAGGACTCGACCTCCGTGTCCGAGCCCTCGATGACAGCGCCGATTGCCGCCTGGGGGGGGGGGGGGGCAGTGCTGGAGGGAGGTGCTGTGCAACCGTCACGCCCATCATCATCCTCATCATCATCATCCTCATCATCAGGATCGCCACCCTCATCATCATCATCATCATCATCATCATCATCATCATCCCCTGCATCCTCCAAATCGGGCTCGATTTGGGCCCGATTTGGACGCGTCCGAATCGGATCCAAATCGGCCCAACATTGCACCCATGCGTGCTCCACTCGGCACACCCAGCACAGCGCGCAAGGCGCCCACCACGTGCGCCAACGGGCGCCCACCAGGCGAAACCTCTGCGGACCCGCCCCGCACTCGGAGCCCCCACGAAGCGCCCGCGCACGTCCAGGGGGCGAAACTTCGGCGGGCCCCAGTCGGGCACGTCCCCCTGCAGGCGGATTTCGGAGTGAGAATGGCAAACCTACTCTGCGTATCCAACATATATATAATGTATGTGCATATATATACACACATATATGTGTAAGGATTTCACAACACCATATAACAGACATACACGTGTATAACGGTACGCCATGGACAAATATATGACGAAATATACAAGCACATGATTACATACATGTGTGTATATGCATATGTACATGCATATACAAACATCTAGTTGATGTATATACATATACCTAATCAATGACTACATACATACATACATACATGCCAAAATCCCGCTGGCCTGCTCCATCTCGGCGGCCAGCGTCTCGAGGCCCGTCAGCTCGGCCCCCATTGGAGGTGGAGGTGGGGGAGGAGGAGCAGGAGGATGAGGAGGATGCCAGCGCACCACGCCGACGACGACGACGACTGCGACGACGACGACGACTGCGACGTAGGAGGAGGAGGAGGAGGAAGAGGAAGAGGAAGAGGAGGAGTAGGAAAAGGATGAGGAGGAAGAGGAGGAGAAGGAGGAGTAGGCGGAGGAAGAGGAGGAGGAGCAAGGGGCGAAAGGGCAGGTATGGGCAATTTTGCCCCCCCCAGCGCCAGCGGCACGCGGACCATCCACCCGCGGATGTCCTTGTACCGCGGCAAGGGCGACCCGCCGCGGTGCGGGGCCATGCAATCCCTCGAGCCACAACGGGCTGAAGACTGGGACGGGGAGGCGAAGAGGCGATCGTGACGAGGAGGCGAAGACGAAGACTAACAAGAGAAGACGCACTTAGAGACGAGAAGTGGACGAAGCCTGGGGCAGCATCAGCACGCGGGGGCATCTAGCAACATCAGCAGCATCTGGGGGGGCATCTAGGGCAACATCACCATGGGGGGCAGCACCGGCATGGGGGCAGCACTAGCAAGACGGGCACCATATAGACGCTGATCTGTATTATCCCTAAGTGTGGTGATATTCATGCTGCATTCCCTCATCTGTCTCCTGCCTCCCAGGGGTGGTTCTAGGGGTTAGGAGGGGCCAGGAAGGGATCATAATGGGGCCGTGATGGGCTAGACAGGGGCATCCCAGGAGGTTGCGATGAGGCAACGAAGAGTTTGGGCGCTGAAGAATCACAGCGAACATCAGTAATGCGCATGATATTACGTAAGGGTCTTAATCTCTTAAATCAGACATGCTAGAAAATAAGAAGCTACTTGCCAGATCTTAAATTAAGATCCTGCCGGCCTCTGGGGAGAGGACCTGCCGATGTTCCACGGCCTCCCGGAACACCGCCTTAAAAGAACAAGGCCGTGTGCATTATGTATAATGCTAGTGGCACATTGGTATTTGCGGCGGGCATGCTCGCACCGTCCGTAGCCATTTTGGCTCAAGCGCTGACGTGCGGCTCTCGCTGTGGCCCTGCCGGTCCATCCGGGGCTTGCTCTGAAAGCTTCGATGCGCCGGCGGCCCCCCTGGGGGCTGGGGGCTACCGCGGGGAGCGCGCCGGGCCAGCCAACACCGAAGGCGGCCGCGGCGCCGCCCTGCGCCCACTCAGCAGCGGCGGGGCTCGAGCTGGCGACCACTCTCGAGTCCGTCGGCTTCGGGGGTGCGCTGGGCGACGCTCTGCTGGCAGGCGTCGGCGGCGACGCGGACACCTCTGTCAGCGACTTCGTCTCGATCCAGGAGTCGGACCTGGCGGAGATGATCAACCAGATCGGGGGCCTGCCTGCGAGCCTCATAACTCGCGGCCGCGCGGCGCGGGCGGTCCGGGCGGTCTTCGGCGCAGCGGGTATACCGCCGCCGGACCTGGGCGCGCCGCCGCCCCAGGCGGGTTCAGCGCCGCCCCCCGGTGCCCCGCGCGCGTCGCCGTCGGCCGTGCCGGCGGCCGACAACAAGCGGCGCTTTCGCGGACTTCCTCGACCAGGGCGCGGAGGGCACCTTCCTCCTCTTCCCCAAGGTTGCCGTCGTTGAGGCGCGCGACAGGCACGCCCAGGTCACAGGGGGGCCGCCGCCGGCGAACGCCCGGCCGTCGGCCGAGCAACTCTCGGGGCTTGCGGCCCGGCTGAGGGGCAAGGCCACACCGTGCGTCGATTTCGGGGCGTTCGGGCCTTATGGCCGCAGACAGACCAAGGCACGGAAGTTCGAGGCGCAGACCTTCGTCGACGGGCGCCTCGAGACGAGGGTGCTCACGGGCCCTTCGAACTTCGAGGCCTGGCGGTCGGCCTGGCAAGTCTTCCGATCCTGCGTGATCTCCCTCGGGGCCGCGCCGCCTGCGGCGCTGGACGCGCACGAGGAGGGCATCCGCCAGTTGTCAGTCATGCGCCCGTCCCACTGGGGCGTCATCCTCAGGGCCGACGACACAGTCTGGTCCGAGAAGTGGGACGAGCTCTTGGAGGAGCACCTCGCGGGCGACCCGGAGGGCGAGCAGGCGTGGACGCAGGTCCTCGAAGCCTCTGCCTGCGGCGGCCAGAGTACGAGCACGTCGATGTCCCACTGGTGGTGGACGCATGTCGGCGCGCCCTGCTCGCGCGGCGGGGGGGGGGCCAGCCCGGCCCTCTCGTCGACCGACTGGAGGGCGCGCCGTCGGGAAGAGCGCCAGACCCTGCGGCCGCGCCCCCACCGGGCTCAGCGGGCCAGCGGCGCGGCCCACGGGGCAATGGCCCGTCGGGCGGCCAGCAGGCACAGCCCCAGCAGCAGCAGCGGCAGCCGCAGCCGCCAGGCCCGGCAAGGCAGGGTCTCGGGAGCTGGCGGCGGCGGCACCCCGGCCGTAGAGAAGTCCACCGAGATGTGCAACCTCTGGAATAACAAACCAACAGGCTGCAGGTCGCCGTGCACGTGGGGCCGCAAGCACGTCTGCCGTGTCCGCGGAGGCCCACATCGGGCCGTCGACCAGCATTGAAGGGGGGCGCGGGACCGAGGGCACGGGGGCTGCTCGCCGGCGCGTCACTCCCACGGCGACGCCGCTCCCTGCGGGGCCAGGAACGCAGCCCGGCGGCGCGGCCGCCGTGCGCGCGGAGGACGCTGACGCGGCGGTGGCCTTACTAGCGCGCACCGCCTCTGGCCGCGCGCACCGGCACGTCCTCCGCGGCGGGGCGCAAACGCCCGCCGCCGACGCGAAGCGGGCGGAGGATGCCGCTTGCCAGGCGGGTTTGCGAAACCCGGGGGTCCTCCGGCGAGCGCGGTCTGGCCTCTGGTCCACGACGGCGCCGATCGCGGATCTCATCGCCACGCACCGGCAGCGGGGGCCCTTGCTGCAGGGGCTGGCCGGCGCGTGCGGCGCCACGCCAACGCGCCAGCCGCCGCCGGCAGAATGCCTGCTGCCGCTGCGCCGCGCGCTCGCCGGGCACCCTGGCATCGGCGCAGTGGCATCGGAGCAGCGCCACCCCGCCTCCTCGCGGCGACCAGAGATCGCGCGCGAGGAACAGCGGCGGGACGGGGACCCTGACTCGGAGATTCAGGAGGCGACAGGGGCGATTCGTCGTCTGACGGGTCCTGGGATTCGGCGGCAAGCCCAACCCCGTCGCGTTCGGGCGCGTGGCGTCCTTCGCCGCGCGCACCGCGCAGGCCCTGCTCTGGCCATTCGGGCGGTCGGGATTGGGCCACGCTGCCGCCGCCGCCGGTCGCCTGCAGCTCTACGTCGACGACCCGGTTTTCACCGTCGGCGGGCGCGCGGGCGGCAGCGCAATTGGCGATCGACCTTGCTCTTACCTGGCGGCCCCCCTCGGGGCGCCGCTCGCCCGGAAGAAAGGCGCGCTCTACGCGCGCGAACACCGGTGGGTCGGAGCCACGTTCATGCCCCGTTCGTCTGGCAAGGTTCACGTTATGCTGCCCGACGAGTTCTTGACGAATCTCTCCATGCTCCTCGGGCCCGTCGCGGCGGGGTCAGGCCATGCGTCTTTGGCATCTGCCCGCCGCGTCGTCGGTAAGTGCGCACGGGTGGCCTACGTGGCCCCTGGCGCGGCGCCCTTCGCGGCCGCTCTCTGGGGCGCCCCTGCTGGCGCTGCGGCGGCCGACAGGGAGGCGCCTCCGGGTCGCGTCGCGCGCAGGAGATTCGGCGCTGCCGCGAGGTGGATGCAGGCGCTCGTCGACCCCTCCGGTCTCGATCTGCTACCCCTTCGGCGAGTCGGCAGTGCCCATGACGACCAGCAAGGGCGCGCTTCCGACGCCGTGGTGAAATTCGACGCTTCACCGTGGGGCGCCGGCGCGGCGCTCTACAGGCGCGGCACACCCGTCGAGTTCTTCGCCCTCGAATGGTCGGACGACATCTGCGGTCTGTTCAACGTGGGCACGGGCGACCCGAGGTGCCAGTCTTTCTGGGAGTACCTCACGGTGTTCCTGGCGTTGTGCGCGCGGGGGGAGTCGTTCCGCACCGAGGTCCTCACCATTGCGGGCGACAGCGCCCCGGCCTTGGAGGGGGCCCTCACCCTCCGCTGCAAGGGCCTCCTCAACCACATCACCCGCGAGATCGCGCAGCGGCTCTCGCGGCGCCAGTGGGAGTACGTGGCCACCCACCTTCCGGCGGAGCACAACAAGACCGCCGACGCGCTTCCGCGGTCGGCAGCGCCGGACCGCGCAGCGTTCCCGGCGGAGCCCGCGGGGGCGACGCAGGCCAGCCCGCCCGCCGCCTTCGACCTCTTCGCGACGACGAGGGCGCCGCCGGGGCGCGCGCCGTGATTTTGGCATGATATCGCTTGATAAAGACACCAGCATCCGCCCTTTCCCCTTCTTCGCGCGCACTTGCGAGGGGCGACGCCCGGCAGCGAGTCCACCCTAGAAAACATAGGGTGCCCAGAGAATTGTCGGGAACGGCGTTCTGGACATTTTTCTGGGCACTTTGTTTTTCTTCTGGTGAACTGGCGGGGGGGCGGCACCCGGCAGCGGGCTCATTCGAGAAAACATAAGGTGCCCAGAGAATTGTCGGGAACGGCGTTTTGGGCATCTCTCTGGGCAGCACTCCGTTATTTTTCTTTGGGTAAACTGGCGGGGGGCGGCACCCGACAGCGGGCTTACTCGAGAAAACACAGGGTGCCCAGAGAATTGTCGGGAACGTCGTTTTGGGCATTTCTCTGGGCACCCCGTTTTTCTTCGGGTAAACCCGCGACGGGCTGCCTGGGCTCGGGGCGGGGGCCTGGCCCTAGGCCTGGGGCCCCCAGGGGCCCCCATCGCCCTGTTCCTCCCAGCGCCCCGCCCCGCGCAACATCTCCCAGTGGAGCCCCGCCGCCCGCCCTGTCGCGGGCCCGCGGCATGCTGCCGACATGGGGATGACACGTGCCCGCCGGGGTGCGTGATCAGCCCAGAGGTCCAAAATTTCAGAAATTTTCAACCGCGTTTTTTCAATTTTTTTTGAAAATTTCAGTTTTCATGTTTATACGACTGCACAATGGTATTCCAACGATTCGTCTTCTTTGAAAGAGAGCAGGGAGGGGAGGATGAGGAGGAGCCTAAGGATATATGAAGGTGAGACGAGCAGAAGAAGGAGAATGCGTCTCTCGTGCTACTCCCCCCAACACGGCAGCGTTTTCGCGTCGAGCTCGACGCATCGAACTCGACGCAAGAACGCCAGGAGGAAGGCGATTGAGATTCGAAAAGGAGGAAGGCGGAGGAGGAGGAGGAGAAGGAGGAGGAGGAAGAGGAGAACCCAGGAAGAGGATCGGGGGAGGAAGAGGAGGAGGATAATGAGAAACAGAAGGAGAAGGAGGAGGAGAAGGAAGAGTAGCACAGCAGATGTGGCGCGACGCCCGCGCGTGCACGCCGCAGCCGCCGGCCCCAAAGATGGCCGACTCGGCCGACCCCGCCGAACCCGACGCCGAACCCGACGCCAAAATGCACCCTGGCGCTCTTCAGCCGAAGGTGCCCACCCCTCTCATGTTCCTCATTCATCATATTCCTCCTCCTCACTCCCTCCTCCTCCTCCTCCTCTTCCTCCTTTTTCCTCCTCATCGTCCTCCTCGATCGTCAACCTCCCATCCTGATCCTTCTCATCCTCCAGCTGCTCCACGACCTCCTCCTCCTCCTCCCCCTCCTCCTCCTCATCCTCTTCATCCTCATCTTCCTCGTCCTCCATTCTTTCAGCCTCCATCCTCATCTCCTTCTTCGGCTGGCTACCGCGCCCTCCCCGTGCATATGAAGCCGCTCCCGAAGGTGCCACCGCCAGCGAAAGAGGACCCCTGTATCCTTCGTGCTGGTTTCCCACATCGATCCTCATCAACCACCTCCTCCCCCCCCCCCTCCTCCTCCTCCTCCTCCTCCTCCTCCTCCTCCATGTGTGTGCGCGTGCGTGAGGACGCGGTCGAGACGCTGGCTTCTGGCGAGGACCCTCTATGCAACATAACCCTACACACCCTCACGAGGAGGAGAACAAGGAGGAGAAGAGGGAGGAGGAGGAGGAGGAGGAGGAAGAAGAGGAGGAAGAGGAGGAGGAGGGGAGGTGGCCCTAGGAGGAGGAGGAGGAGGAGGAGGAGGAGGAGTCCCACTCCCCCGATGACGTCCCCGTCGCCCCGAGGACGCCATCGCCACCCTGGCGGCCGCCCCGACCACGGAGGTGGACGGCCCGTCGCAGGCGGGCAAGGGCTCAATGTCGGCTCGACGGCGGCGGGCACGTTTCGGGCAGGTTTCGGGCACGTCTCGGGCAGGTCGAGACACCTGCCCGAGACCTGCCCGATACCTGCCCGAAACCTGCCCGAAACGTGCCCGCCGCCGCACGCAGGAGGGAGGTGGATGAGGTGGGTGGAGGGTGGAGGAAGAGCAGGAGGAGGACCCCCTTCCCCTCCTCGTTCTTCCCGCCCTCCCCTTCCCTAGTCCTCCTCCTCTTCCTCCTCCTTAATTATCCTCCTTCGTCTTTCTCCACTTCCCCTTTACTCCGACTCCTCGTATTCCTCTTCCTTCTCTTCACCCTCTGCCCTCGCACAACGAGGTCGTGACGACGACGGCAGTGGCTTGGACCCCCCGCCCCCGAAGGCTGCGGCGATCGAGATCGAATCCGACCTCGAGCCGCTGCAGCCGCCGCCGCCCGTCGCGACGGACGTTGATCCGAAGGCGGCTCTGGCGGGGGTGGAAGAACACGAGGAAGATGAGGAGGAGGAGGAGAAGGAGGAGGAGGAGGAGGGGGGGGAGGAGGAGGAGGAGGAGGAGGAGGAGGGGGAGGCGGAGGAGGGAGGAGGAGGAGGAGAGAGGACGGGCGAAGAGGGGAACGCAGTTGAGGATGTCTGGAGCGAAAGCGTCGCCCGCCAGAAAAATTGCAAGAAGTCTCGAGCGGTGCTTCATCTTGATAGGGGGTTCCCGCTTCATGTTTGCAATGGGGAGGAGGAGGGATGAGGAGGAGAGGAGGAGGAGGGAGAGAAGGAGGAGGAGGAGGAGGAGAAGGAGGAGGAGGAGGAGGAGGAGGGGGGGACAGGGGAGGGGGAGGGGGACGATGATGATGATGATGACGATGATGCTGGCGATGCTGATGATGATGATGCTGATGATGCTGATGATGATGGTGATGGTGATGATGATGGTGATGATGATGATGATGATGCTGATGAGTAGGAGGAGGAGGAGGAGGAGGAGGCGCAGAAGGAGGAGGATAAACCTGGGACGGACCTCACACGCTTCGTGCCCCACATGCTTCCTCGAGTCATCACCTTCCTCCTCCGACTCCTTGCATCAGCTTCGGCACCCCCCTGCTGTGTATTATCATCGTGATGGATGTTTCGAGCGAGAGCGTGGTCGACAGATGAATTGCGAGGAAGTCTCGAGCTTGAGCCCTGCCCCCGTGCAAGATGGTGACACCACCATCTTTTTGTTATGGCCAGGGTACCTCCTCCGCTATATTGGTAGAGCTTCCAATGATGATGCGATCTATCTCCTCGTCATCGCCCTCATCATTCTCATCCTCGTGGATCATCCCCCTCTCCACCCGCCCCCGCGTTAAGTGCTGTACTGTAGCCGTTTTGGCTCTTTTTCAGGATGTCAGACATCCACGAGATTCTAGAGTCCGCGGCGACGGCGGCGACCTCCCTCGACTTCATCAAATGGTCGAAGGCCAACGGCATATCCCGCCACAACATCAGCAACAACGCTGAGCTGCTCAGAGCGATCTACGCGGAGCCTTGGCAACCAATGCCCACTTCATCCACCTCCCACTGCTGATCCCTCGCCCTCCCCCTCGTATGAGGGTGGGGGGAGGGTCATTCGACCTCCCCCTGTCTGACGGGGCAGGGTCGAGACACGGATTGGGAGGAGGTGGGGATGCAGCAAGAAACGAGGAGGTCGACGAGCTACGGCGAAAGGGGGGAGGCGGTGGAGGAGGAGTTGGCGGAGGGAGTCGACGAGAAATACGACGAGGACGACGGCAGCAAGGGATGGTAAGATGAGGAAGCAGAGAGGGGAGGAGGAGTAGGAGTAGGAGGAGGAGTAGGAGGAGGAGGAGGAGGAGGAGGAGGGAGGGGAGGAGGTGGGGGGATTTTGAGACACACTACAGCAGGAGCGCTGCACCTTCACGGTCAAGAAAGAAGAAGGACATCGAATACACCTTGAGGGAGGCCGCCAAAACGCCGTTGGTCTTCAAGAACCGCCAGGAGAAGCACGATTGGATCGACACCTGCACGAAGAGGCTTCGCATCATGCTGCGGCACTGCGCCCAGTACAGCAACAGAAAGGACAACGTCCCCATTTGGTTTCAAAAGCTGGACCTAGTGAACACTACCAAGTCGGAGGACGACGACCACGGCAACGAGAACGGCGAAGAAGAAGACGCCGACCAGTTCGAGGAAGACGAAGAAGAAGATGACGATACAGACGGTGAAGAAGACACCGACAATGACGACGCAGACGGCGCAGGTGTCATGAAACGGCTTGCGACCAAGAAGCCATCACACAACGACGACGCCATATGGACCCACGCCTATGACGCAGACACGCGCCGTGCATACCGCCGCAAGGTCGGAGCGAAGAAGTCTGACCACGGAGAAGATTGCGTAGAGATGAGAGTGCCAGAGAAAGCTGGACCTTCCGATCAAATGGAGGCAGTCTGGGGCGATGGTACGACGTGGAAGGTACCCCAGACGACGGTCAAGGCGTGGCAGCACCAGCACCGAAGGGCAAGGCAAAAGCAATTGCTAAAGCTGCTGCAGCGGGCGATGCATCATCAACGACGAGTGCGCCCACATTGGCTTTAGCCCACGCGCTGATTCACAAAGATGGGGAGCGCGTGAGAGTGCACGGCCGATGGAACCAGCCAGCAGGCAAGAGCAAGGAGAGGCTGATCTGCATGAAGCACGACGGGCACCCGCAGGTCGTGATGGTCAACATCGACCTCTTCAAAACGAACTCTGATGACGACGATGCCACCGCGGAGAAGAACGCCGTGAAGTGGATGAACGGCTTAGCGAAGAAGTACGCCGAAGGCGACCTCACCAGGGACCAGTGCCGCGACATGAAGGCGAAGCTGATAGCGCCCAAGGCCGCCCTGAAGCGCCCAGCGGCGGCGACCGCCGAGGCCACGCCCGTCGACGATGACGCCATCGTCTCCGACGCGGACCCCTACAGGCACTTGCTGCCTGGGGCTCCGATTACACCGAAGGTCGTCGATGGCAGCGAGCAGACTTCGGGATCTGGATCGTGGATCGAGCACGGTCGCGGCGCGGCGAGTCCTGAGCCCCTGCCCGTGGAGGAACCGCCCGAGACGCCGC